AAAGAAAGATAAACACAGGAGGGTCTTCAGGGCATCTTCATGGCACAGTCACTACTCAACCCATGTGAGAGATGCTGTCTCTTCACCTGCACCCAGACACATAGCTCTCCCATAAAACCATGTCCAACAAGGTCCCAGGACAAATGACTTTTTTGTCCAACTCTCCAAGCATTTCCCAAAAACTCCACAAGTTCATCCCTTTAACTCTAACACTCTGCTCAACCCCAAACTCTTGTTCCCAAAGTGGGGACTGCCACAACCTTGGTATATAGCCTCACATCTGGCCTATCTGTACACCTACCGCTAATGCAGGCACAGTCTAAGGCTCAGAAAGCATGAGGAAGAAGTACTGCCCACTTACTCTGTGCTCTGATAGACTCCCACCGAGATGTTGAGCCCCTCCAGCTCCTCCTTGAGCATCTGCAGGTCAGAGTTCACAAAGCTCAGCTCCAGGCGCACTTGTTCCCGCACTTTATGGTTCGTGGCTGCTCTGTTAAAAGGGGGGAGAAGTACCCTCTGTTAAAAGGGGGGAGAAGTAGGGTGGAGAAGTACCCTCAGCCAAGTGTCATAGCTACCAGATTGGCATATACCCCTCTTGTGAGTATCATATGTGATCAGATAAAGTGTCTCAGAGATGTTAGGCATCCATTCCATCCTGACCCTCCAACTGACCTGCCAGACATGAATCCCAAGACAGTTCTGCAAAGAATTAGCCTTGAGAAGAGGAAAAAGAATTGTTTCTGGTCACGCCTAAAAGACCATAAATTATCCCCATAAAAGGAAATGGATGGGAAAGAGAGGAGGAAACACTTCCCAACTTATTCTATAAGACTAGTTATTACCCAGATCCAAAACAAGAGAAAGGCATCATAAGAAACTGAAACAACAAACAAGTATCCCTCATGAATATATACACAAAACTCCTCAACAAAATATTAGCAACCTGGACCTAATAACATATGAAAAGGATTATAGACTAAGACCAAGTGGGATTTGCTCTAGGAATAATGTTATATGCTACACTAATAAAGAACACACACATGCACACACACACAATGATCTCAATAAGTGCAGAAAAAAAGTGTAACAACAACAACAACAAAAATTCATGATAAAAACTCTCAACAAATTAAGAACAAAAGAGAACATACTCAACCTGGTATAGGAACCTAACATCACATAACAATGAATGACTGACTGCTTTTCCCCTTACAATCAGGAACCAGGCAAGGATATTCACTTGACTGCTAACCAGAAGGCTGGCAGTTCAAACCCACCGGCCACTCCTCGGAGGGAAGGTTGGGCAATCTACTTCTGTAGTGATACTGCCTCAGAAACCCAAGGAGGGGTTGCTATGAGTCAGGTCCGACTCAAGGGCACATAACAATAACAACAATCAACACTGTACGGGAGCTCCAAGCCAATCACAATTAGGCAAATAATGAAATTAGAGGCATCCAGATTATGAAGGAACGCTGTCCTTATTTACACATGACATGATCCCATATGTTCAAATACTTGTTGTGTTGTCATGTGCCATCAAGTCAGACCTGCCTCATAGCGACCCCTCCTTGGGTTTCCGAGGCATATCACTATGGAAGTAGATTGCCCCATCTTCCTTCTGAGGAGTGGCTGGTGGGTTTAAACAGCCAGTCTTTTGGTTAGCAGTCAAGTGCCTTAGGCACTATGCTACCAGAGCTCCCATGTTCAAATACTAGAACTAGTATATTTATCAGTCATAAGTTATAAGGTCAATTAAAAAGAAAAAAAAAAAGTATTTCTACATACTAACCAAAGAACCAACATCACTGCCCTCAAGTCGGATCTGACTCATAGCAACCCCTCCTTGGGTCTCCGAGGCAGTATCACCTTAGGCACTATGCCACCAGAGCACCTTTGCTAGCAAAGAATAACCTGAAATTATGAAAACAGTTCCATTCACAATAGCATCAAAAAGAATAAAATACTTAGGAATAAATTTAATAAAAGAAACACAAGACGTGTATACTGAAACAACATAATACTGCTGTTGTTGTTGTTGTTATATGCCGTCGAGTCGGACCCGACTCATAACAACCCCTCCTTGGGTTTCTGTGGCAGTATCACTACGGAAGTAGATTGCCCCATCTTCCTTCCAAGGAGTGGCTGGTGGGTTTGAACCGCCAGCCTTCTGGTTAGCAGTCAAGTGCCTTAGGCACTATGCTACCTGAGTTCCTTAATACTGCTGAGAGATATTAAATGGAGAGACATTCCATGATTATGGCCTGGAGGATTCAATATCATTAAAGTCAATTCTTCCCAATAAATCTACAGATGCAACACAATCCCAATCAAAATCCCCATAAGCTTTTTAATAGAAATTGACAAGCTGGTCCTAAACTGTATATGGAAATGGGAAAGTTCTAGAAAAGTAAAAATAATTTTGAAAAAGAAAAACAAAATTGGAGGGCTTAGGATAGCCGATTCCAAAACTAATTCTAAAGCCATTATCATTAAGGCAGTGTGGTATTGGCATAAGGACAGGCAATAGAACAGAACAGAGAGTCCAAAAATAAACCCTTACATTTACGGTCAATTGATTTTCGACAAAGGTATCAAGAAAATTCAAAAGAGCAACGATAGTCTTTTCAACAATGGTGCTGAAGCACTTTTCAACAATGGCACTGGATATTCATAGGTATATCAGGGTCCCCAAGACTGTCCCTAGGCTCAGTGATTTGCTAGGATGACTCACAAGACTCAGCATACAAGTCATACTTATGGCTACGATTTATTACAGTGAAAGAACACAAAGCAAAATGAGCAGAGGGAAAAGCACATGAGGCAAAGTCCAGAAGAAACCAGTCATAAGCTTCTAGAGTTCTCTCCCACTAGAGCCACACAGGATGTGCTCAGTTGATTCAGAAATAAGCTGTTGTGGTGAATTGCTTGATATGGCCCTTCTAGTCATTGTCCTCCATTCTGTGATGTACTGTAAATCCTATTATCCATGCTTGTTTGGGGTGGTGTGGTAATTAAGGTCAGGTATCAACTTGGCTGGGCAGCTAGTGGTAGTCTTTCCCCATAATGACTGTGATGGGATTTGCCTTGAGCTGCTGATTAAGGCCATCCACTTAGGTTATTTCTGTTGGGGCAACACAGGTGGAGTCCTTGAGTCCTGCCTTGCTAGAGGGTATAATTCAAATCACCACCCTTAGCTTCTTTGAGGGTATACCTATGAATCTCCTGGGAAGACCTGGCCTCCTATTGCTCTGGTTCTGTGTTTTGGCTCATCCTCATCTCACCCCTGGATTTGGGACAGCAGCCATCATCTCATCTGCTAATCAAGGTTCATCAAACCCTAAGAACTGGGAGGATCCTCCAGACCTACTCATGGACCAGGGACTCACCAGCCTGCCAGCCTCCACCACAACTATGTGAGATGAACCCTTGGGTGTCTGTGAGTTCTGTGAGGTGTTACAGTGAAATACAGAACCCTAAGACTGGGGAAATTACTGGGAGCAGGAGGAGGAGTTAATGTCTGAAATGACGGAGTGGTACAGTAGTTTGGACATTTGGGACATCTTTAACCTCCACTTCATGGGGACTGGCCTTGTGCTGATATTTCTGAGAGAAATTGTTCAAGCAGTTGTGATAACTCATGTGGAATGATGTCTACAGGGAAGCTCATCAGAAACTAGTAACCAGAATTTTACTAGGTACTAGTCACATATGCTGACCAAATAGTCCTAGAAGCTGGATTTTATGAAGAAGAACATGACATCAGGATTGAAGGAAGACTCATTAACAACCTGTGATACACAGATGACACAACTTTGCTTGCTGAAAGTGAGGATGACTTGAAGCATTTACTGATGAAAACTGAAGACTACAGTCTGGAGTATGGATTACACCTCAATATATAAGAAACCAAAATCCTCACAACTGGTCCAATAAAGAGCTTCATGGTGGTTGGAGAAAAGATTGAAGTTGTCAAGGATTTCGTATTACTTGGTTCTACAATCAACACCAATGGAAGCACCAGTCAAGACATCAGACAACGTACTGTATTGGGCAAATCTGCTGCAAAAGACCTCTTTCAGGTGCTGAAGAGCAAAGATGTCTCCTTGAAGACTAAGGTGCGCCTAACCCAACCCATGGTATTTTCAATCACCTCTTATGCATGTGACAACTGGACAATGAATGAATAAGGAAAACTGAAGAAGAGTTGATGCTTTTGAGTTGTGGTGTTGGTGAAGAATGCTAAGAGTACCATGGACTGCTAACTAACAAATCTGACCTGGAAGTACAGTTGGAATGCTCCTTGGAAGCAAGAATGGCCAGACTTCTTCTCATCTACTTTGGTCATGTTGTCAGAAGGAACTATTCCCTAGAGAAGGATATCATGTTTGTAAAATGGAGGGTCAACGAAAAAGAGGAAGGCCCTCAACGAGACGGATTGACACAGTGGCTGCAACTATGGGCTCAGGTATAGCAAGTATCGTGACACTGGCACAGGACCAACATACCAAAAGCAAGTGACCAACAAAGTAACATCAAGGAAAAGGAAGACACAGAGTGGAGCACAAGAGGTACAGACAATGGTAAACACTTTTACATACACAATACTATTTTAACAGTAGAAACTAAAAAATTACTGATATAATAATATATCAAAAAAACCAACTCACTGCCATGGAGTTGATTACAGCTCATAGCAACCCCCATTGCATTTCTGAAGTGGTCTATCCTTACAAAAGTAGATTATCCAGTCTTCCCTCCATGGAGTGGGTGATGGGTTTTAACCGCCAACCTTCTGGTTATCAGTCAAGTCCCTCAGTCACTATACAACCAGAGCTCCAATAATGTATCAGTAATTATAATAATAAATTGGGAACTCTGGTGGCATAGTGCCTAAGGCATTTGACTGCTAACCAGAAGGCTGGTGGTTCAAACCTACCAGCCACTCCTTGGAAGGAAGGTTGGGCAATCTACTTCCGTAGTGATACCGCCTCGGAAACCAAAGGGAGGGGTCGCTATGAGTTGGATCCAATTCCACGGCAGTGAGTTTTTTTATAATAATAAAAATTATATACTGGTGGATACATAGGTAGACAGGCTAAACGATCATGTATGGCTACACAAAACAGAATATAGTCATGGCAGATGATATTTCTACATACATATTTATGTGTGCTATGAGAATGTCCTTACATACAATAGAGCTAACAGGGGGAAACGTTATTATCAATTCTTAGCCACTGTCAAGGAACTCTGGAAGTGTAATGCCTAAGGCACTCAACTGCTAACCAGAAGGCTGGTAGTTCAAACCCACCAACAACTCCTCGGAAGGAAGGTTGGGGAATCTACTTCCATAGTGATACCACTCAGAAACCCAAGGAGGGGGTCGCTATGAGTTGGGTCCGACTCGACAACACATAACAACAACAGCCACAGTCAAGCACCTTGAGGGAATGAGTCTTTGAGCCTATAAGCTCAGAACCATAGTTA